ACGTGAGCGGGAACAAGGGGAGGGGCAGAAGAGGCTGGCCCTCTCGGCTCCAAATGCACCCCTGGAGCACTCTGGCTCGTCTCAGCAGCCCGGGAGGTGGACCGTGCAGGCTCTAAGCTCATAGCAAACTCACTGCCATCGCCTCGGTTCCGACTCACAGCAGCCCGACCGCTAGGGCAGGAGAGAACTGCTCCCTGCGCACTTCTGAGACTGAGCCCCTTTCTGAGCACAAAGCCTCGTTGTTCTCCCGGTTGGTGGTATCGAACAGCTGACCCAGCAGTTTGCAGCCCAGTACATTACCACGACACCACCGCAGCTCCTCTGTACAGGCGCAGAGAGCTTAAAATTTGCTCAAGGTCTCACATAATTGGTTTAAAAAAGTTAGGGAAAAGAGGTAGAAGGAAGAGAGGCTGGCTGACAGGAAGCAGCAGCAGCTAGCGAGAAGGTAGCTCTTGAATTCAGGACTAAGATTCGCTCTGAGACTCCTTCGGAATCCCTTTCTCTAGATGCGGCTTAACTGTTAACCTTCCCGACATTCCAATCTCCTCATAAGAACATTTTACAAATCCCCACCCTCAGATTGTCAAATGCAAAGGCCTCTCGGCGCACGGTCTAGAACAGGGGTCCTCAAACTTTTTAATTAGGGGACCAGTTCACTGTCCCTCAGACCCATTGGAGGGCCGGACTATAGTTTTTTAAAAAAACTATGAACAAATTCCTATGCACACTGCACATCTTATTTTGAAGTAAAAAAAACCAACAAATGGGGCAAAATCACCTGGCGGGCCGGATAAATGTCCTCGGCGGGCCGCATATGGCCCCCGGGCTGTAGTTTGAGGACGCCTGGTCTAGAATGTTCCTTTAGGCACAGGGCAGGCAAACCCTAGGCCCTGAGTATGGGCAACTCAGCCCTGATCAATCTGTCCCAGGCCACAGGCAGCCAGCTCCTGTTGCAGCCTCCTCCCAAGAAGTTGGCCCCTAGCTCCCCAGGTAGAGCCCTGAACTCCCAAACCCAGGATTTCCCACGGTCTAGTCTGTGCTAACTAGGAAAAGATGCCTAACTGCCCCGGACATTCACCAGTGGTTCTCTACCTTCCTAATGCCACGACCCTTTAATACAGTTCATGGTGTGGTGACCCCCCAACCATAAAATTATTTTCATTGCTACTTCATAACTGGCATTTTGCTACTGGTATGAATCAGGTGACCCCTGTGAAAGGGTTGGTTGACCCCCCAAACGGGTCCCGACCCACAGGTTGAGAACCGCTGCCCTACACAGACATGGCTCCGGAGCACCATGCTGGCAGGATCGCAAGCCTCACTTGCACGGGTGGGCAGGCATTTTATACAGCAGCCCTGCCCAGCACACCCACCTACCTGCGCCCCTGAGTCAATGTGTACGCAGCCCTGGATCCTTGTCAGGCCCCAGAGTTCAGGTGTAACAGAGAAGGCTCTGCCCACTCCTGACTCTAGGCATCATGTGCAGGCTGGCCCGCTCCTAACTTCGAGGCACCAGGAAGTAACACAACATTCACACCCCTGCCCCCACGCCTCCCCTTCAGAGAATGATCTATGCTGTAACTGGCCCCCGAAAGGAGGTCCACAGGAGGGTGGACGCCTCTGGCTTCCAGATTCACCACCTTCACACCTTCTGCTGTCACCAGGCTGACCTTTGGGAGCCCCTCTCTCCACTTTCAAGACCCCCCTGCTATATGTACTCACCCAAACCACTCTTCATGCTGACAGCACAGACGATGCCAGGCAGGGGTGCAAACCCCTGCTCTGGAAATGGATCTGTCTTTGGATGCTTCCGCATCGGTCAGTATTTTGCCCGTAGAATCTTTCAATATTGCAACTCGAGGCTTGAATTTTTTTCTCTCTCGAGTTCTTTCAGGTTAAGACATGCTGAGCACGTTCGTCCTTTTTGGTTTTCTAACTCTAGGTCTGCGTGCATTTCACTGTATTTGAGTACTTTGAAGTGCTGCCAGATGCTTCTTAAAGGATGGTGGGACTGCCTCACACACTTGGACATACTATCAGGAGAGACCAGACCCTGGAGGACGCCATGCTTGGCAAAGGGGCAGAGAGAAAAAGGCCTTGGAAAAGGCTGGCACAGCGGCTGCATCCATGGCTCAACATACCGCTCATGAGGGCGGCCCAGGCCCATGCAGTGCTTTGTTCTGTTGGGTGCAGGGGCGCTGGCACCTAACCACAACTGGGGACGGAAAACCACCGAGCCCTAGCTGTAGTGCCCTCTTTCCTCTCCAGGGGCCTCAGCAAAACCTGTGCTGGAGTCCGGGGCAACTGCCACGGCACAGGGAAAACAAGGTGAATTTCAGACCTGGGAAGAGCAGCAGCCTGGCAGGCGGGGCCGCACGGACAGCTCCAGTCCCTGCACCCTCCTGGCACTGGCAGCAGTGTGGAGGTGGCAGGGGACAGGCACCAGGTAACATCAATCCATTGCTAACAAGCCCATTCTGACTCAGTGACTCTGGAGTGTTTCCCCAGACTGTAAATCTTCACAGGAGCAGGCAGCCTCATCCTTTTCCCGTGGAGTGACCTACCTGGTGGCTAGCAGCCCAACACTTGGCAGATAAGCCGCAGGACTATCTGTGAATTTATTAGAAATGTACCAAGTCAGACCCTTCAAAAACCCAAAACGGGACTGTCACCTTTGGATTCTCACGGCGACCCTGTAGGACAGAGTGAGCTCCTGAGGGTCTACCTCTCTACGGGGGGAGATGGCACCAGTTTTCTCCCTCGGAGCAGCTGGTGGGGTGGGACACGGAACTCACTTCACCATCAGGGCTCCTGCAGGTCAGACCCCAGACCTATTTAGTTTGATTCTGGGAACTGGAGGCCCAGTGACATTTTGTGTTGGTCAATGTCTCTTGGTGATGCTTATGTCTACGTCTGAGTCGGCCTGCTGACACGGTGCCCATGACGGGGCTATTAATACATAATCAGAAAAGCGCTGACACAGCGGCTGTTTTTGAACACCCCCCTATATGCCACACAGTTTTCACATTTTATCCAAGTACTAGGCATTTTAAATGCTTTGTCTCACTTAACATTCCTAACAGCCCTCGTTTTCACAGGTGAAGAAACTTTAAGACACTTGCTCAAGTCACTTAACACATCTTCCAGGCTATTACTAAAACCCTAGAGGCTTAAAAGTTAGAACTTCCAGACCGTGTAGTAACTAACAAAGTGCTAAGTCCATAGTATCAACTATTGTGTACCTCATTTTGGTAGAAGGATGTATGTTGCAATCCTTGGATTTATGCGTTATTTACTACTCATGGTGTTTGGTATGTTCAAAAGGGCCAGCTAGACCAAGCTTTTGGTTGGTGTTTATGTTTAAGGCAGTTGAATCGATCAAGTTTGTGACTGGTGTCTAAATAATCCAGGCATTCGATGTTTTATTAGGGGGATTTTATTAAGTTGTGCACAAAAGACTCCGTAACGGTGCACACTGCTCTCCAGCCCTTAAGCCATCCAAACGCGGCAAAATGAAGTGGAAGCCTTAACGAGGTCTCGGGACCGCAGGATAGTTGGATGACGCTAACTGCTGCACAACCTTTGTGAAGGAGGTCCGTTCCCTGCGCTTCCCGTACTCTCACCTCACTCTGTGGGTCTGTGTCCTGGGATACATAAGCATTTGAAACAGCCTTCAACTGGCGAGTCGTTGTGAGAAAGTAGACTGACCCAGTGGCAGAATGCGACATTTGGTCAAATGCAGGGCATCCAGTGGAACCAACAGAAAGTCCGAGAAGGCTCCTGAGACAAGGCAAAGCCATCTCCTCGCTTCGTTTAGGTGAACCTGTGTGGCTTCTCCGGCAACAACGTGAGACCAGGCCCCAAGTGCTCTGAAACTAAAAGGAGACGGGCAGCGGCCAGCGCGGGAGTCGGCCGAGGGCAGATCCTGTGCACCCCGATCCCTCCACTAGTAGCCACCGTGTCAAATCCTGCCGCCTCACTAGCCCTGATGGCCCGGCCCTGCTTCTTTCAACAAGTTGCCCTGTTCAAAGGCCATGTGTGCGTGCAAAGGATGACTACTAATACAGTTTTCAGAAAATAAAAGGGTCTACAGAAACCAGGATACTGCTTCAAATTTGTTTGGGAAACATGTTGTGTACAAATTGGATATCAAAATCAGGGTGGTCAACATCTCCGTTTCCCTAACAGCAGCAGCAAAACCAGAAGCCACTAGAATCAAGTTTATTCCACCTTCCTTGTTTCGGAATCACGGCGGCTTGGACACAGCGCGCTCTTGACAGCAGAGAGAACAGACACGCTCAGCACACACTGAGCCCCAGCGACACTGAGTCATGCTTAGGGATAAAGCATCCGTGAAATGAGAGCCTACACCTCATCTCGGGACCACAGCACAAAGCCCGTCCCAGGAAGCCCATGTGGGACCTGGCGGGCAGCATGATGTAACACAGCAAGCACTCGCTAGGCGCCTTCAGAATGCTGTGCAAACCCTCCAGGGACGCACCCTCCCCTTCTCCCAAGAGCCTCCTCAACTAGTGCCAGAGGGCAAAGGATCTTGGACTCACTCATTCATTCCGCACATCTTTACTGCGACTCTGGGTCCATGCTGGACAAAGCTAAGACTTAGACCCAGTCCTTACCTTCATGGAATTCGGGAAATGAATTTTCAAAATGCACAGGCTTGTAAGTCATTGTGATTCGGGGCAAAAAGGGCAGAGAGGGGTCAGAAAGCCTGGATCCTCAAGCAGCTTACAGCCTAACAGAGGGCTACAGGGAGAATGCAGAATATAGGGCGGCCTGTGGGAAGGACCCGAGTGGATTAGATTGTACACCCTGGCAGTCGAGAGGGAGATGGTCTGGCATCTATTTGACTAATTCAGGGGGGAAACCCCGCTTCCTAGAAAAGAGTGAGCAGCCCAATCTGGGCCAAGTGTAGGTATCAAATCCTGGGGAGGAGACTGTAGGTCCCTAAGGATAGCATGTCAGTACCGTCACCTCTCCCAAAGCAGGCCAGCTAACATGTGTCTAACCAATGACTACAGCTGCACACACCTCCTGTGGACTTCGCAACCAGGAGAAACAGTTTCAAATAACAAGGGTTTGAGTTAGCGCTTAGGAATTAGGGAACAGGTCAGGGGGATAGGTGGCCTGGGTAAACACTAGCTGCAGCAGGCTCCTGCTCCCTGCATGTTCCTGTACCCCTATAAACGTGAGGATGCCAGGGGCCGGATGTGTGGGGAGCCCCTGGAGCAGAGAACCACAGCCCATGTGGTCACCTCTCCTTCCCTAAGGGGAGGCAGCAGTCCTCTTGTCCTCACAGCTGCTGTCACCCACCTTACCTGTCCTGTGTCTCCCTAGCCGGGAGCCGGCGGAAGTGGGCTCAGAAAGGGCACCGGTATGGTAGCTTAGGTCCCAAGGAATTGGCACAAGCAAGGTCGCAGTGCCCACGGCTCTCGTAGTCGGTCACCTGGATCACAGTCAAGCTGGGGAGGACTCTCTCTGCAGGCCGAGGCGCAGGCCCATGCAGGCCTCTCTTCACAGGGTTCCGAGGACCAGCTGCAACCTTTTGTCTTAGCTTCTTCACAGCAGCCCCACCGACACCATCTCCCCAGACCAGGCCACACACCTGCTACCTGCCTTCTCTCCCTGGAGGTGCCAGGATGCCTATCTGTCCATCTTTTTCTTCACGGCTGCCGTCACCCACTCTGGGGTCAACCCCAGCCCCCACGCCAGACTTCCCTGGCCCTTCATCTTCCTCTTACCCTTCCTGAAATTGCCCAGAGACCTTTCGCTGTGAAGGCTTGTGTGACGAGCCATTAAGCAGCAGCCCACCTGAGAGCAGAGGGGAGTCTTTTAGGGATAGATGAGCTATCGGAGGAAGGCCAGGATTAGACAGCGAGTCCTCACCGGCACGTGACTCGGGCGCCTTCCATGCGCCTCCACTAGGACAGTCCTAAGGAGCTCCTGATATCGCCCTGCTCCTGATCCGTCAGGCCTGCCTGTGGGAGGTAGCCATCTCTCTACCCTCTCTCTTGAGGGTACGGTGCTGAGTAAAGCTTGGCTGAACAGGAAGGGAACTACCCCTTACCCCTCTCACGCTCCCCAAGTCCTTCTGCGCACCCCCAACCCCGGGCACGCCTGGCTCCGCCACGCCCTCAATGGCCAACTTGACGGAGGGCTTCCCCGGCCTCTGTCAGGGCTCACCTGAGGAAGTAGAGGTAATTTTATTCATCCTTTCACCCCACAACGTGCTGAAAGGTTCGACATACCAGGCCACACGCAGACACCACTTCCAGGCCATGGGGAGACGGGGGTGACCGAAGCAGGGAGTGGCGACCAACAAGTACCTTGCGTTTTGCACAGCCATATTCAGGAAGCCGCAGAGCCATGCACAAAGGGGTAAAGAAAAGACCCTCACTGGGTCTGCGGCGACTGTTTCGGTAGGATGGGACATGCTCAGGGAATGTCGTAAAGCCAGTCTCCTCCAAAGACTCCAGCACTCTGCTGAAGGAGGGGTGGCCAAGCACACCCTTTCATCTGGGCGGGGACCCTGCCCCCCACCCATCCTGCTGGTACAACTGTAACCTCCCTAGCCTCCCACACTGCACTCCTCTACAAGACTTGCTCTTTGCTTTCAACACCAGTTTATGACCTTCTCGTCCCACAATAGGGGAACAGAGACTTCCTGTGGAAGGAATACAAACCTCAGGACAGGATTTCTGTCCCAGTAACAGACTGTGGGGCAATCGTCTGAAACAGGAAGACGTCAAAGAGGCCTAGCATAGGCTAAGCTCGGGCTCAGGCTGGTACAACCAAGAGGCAGCCAGACTTCCCAGACAATGATTCCAGGAGATCAGAAGGAATAAGCCCAAATCAGAGCAACCTTCTACTGGTGAAGCTGAAGACCTGCTCCACAGGTTCCACAGTGGCTGCGCCAGGACAGCATTCTGAGAGAACACACTTGGGAAGCACTGCGCGGCGTGGGCAGGCCCTTGGACTTCAGTGACACTGGAAAGGCAACAGAGACAACAGCGGGAGCCACCATCACCCCGACTGAGAGCCCTTTATCTGGAAACTCTTGGGACACCTAGATGGTCTTTCTTCTAACTGCATGAGGTCCTGGAAGGCTAAGACTTGGGGGGGGGCGGGGGGGTGTCTTGTCCAATGCTTTCGTCCTCGGCCCTGCCCCTTTGCATCAGGAATCACCCTCACCAAGGAATTGCTGGTGCGTCTTTCAGGGCCCAGAGCCATCAGATGCGGCCGGCTAGTGCTGAGCCCCTTGCTTCCTCCGAGGCAACGACGCTTTCCGGGTGAGGAGGACTGAGCAGAGCGGCAAAGCTGGGGAAGGCGGGTGCTCCCACGATCTGACTGTTCCGCCCAAGTCCCCAGAGAGCGAGCCTGCAGCGTGTGGAGCATGACCAGAAGGGCGTGGGGCTCGTTTGTGAGGGAAACCACCTCACACTTGGATGGCGTCCTTGGATTTCCATTTTGGATCAGAGTCCGACAGGCAGCCAGGACCTGTGATTGTGGAGCACCCAGGAGCCTGGCCTCTGCTAGGGGCAGGAGGAGGATTGAGCCTAGGACCGAGCGTCTCAGCTTACAAATGGAGACCTGAGGCCCGAGAGGTCAGGTGATGTGTTTAAGACCACAGGTGAGACCCATAGCACCGCTGCCCGACTCCCAGGGCAGGGTTTTTTCCGCTGCGGCAGCTCTGGCAAATTTTTCCTTTTGCTCTTGGGAGATGGAGGGGTGGTGACCCTGTGCCAGGCTTCGGGTCCAGGTAGAGGAGAATATTAAGCTTTTGGATTCTCTATAGCCCCAAAAGCTTGGGGTTCCCTTGGGCCGGATGCCATTGTCCCGGCTGTGGTTCCCGCCCTTCTTTGGGCTAATAGGTTCTGAGTCCATTAGTCTTGAACTGACTCAGGGCGACTGCCAGGACTGGTCCCGTCCGCCCGCACCTGGCTCAGTAGCTCTCCGTCTGTGAACAGGCAGAAGGCAATCTGCTCGCACTCCTGTTTGATTCCACACTCAAACAAGCAGCCAAACAAGCCCTCCTCCTCCACAACAGCCATGTCTGAGTAGCCGCAGGGCCCACAGTGCAAGATCCAGGGCCCAGACCAGCAGGTGGCCTCCAGGGGAGCCTGGTTGAGGTAGATGCCTAGGTTGACCCTCCGTTTCTTACCCGTTGGGTGTGAGTACAAGAGCCAGGATTCTGAGCAGGCTCCAGCTTCCTGCTCCAGCCCCGGGGAGCTGTCTAGTGGAGGGCTCGGCTGGACTGCGGGTGCATCTTTGCCACCAGGGTTCTGGCACTTAAGAGTGATCTTGAAGGGCCGGAAACTCACCACACTGCCTTGGCAGCCATGTGGAGGTTCACAGAGCTGATGGTTCAAGGCTGACCTCTGAAAGCACTCACCATGGTTAGTGCTGAGGGCTTCCCCCCGGTGTCTGCTTGGGGTCCGTGCACTACAATACAGCACAGGTGGACCAGCCTTCCCAGTTATTTCGGCCACCTCGCACTCCGCTGTCGCTATGGGCCTGATGAGACTGCCATGGTGCCAAGTGGCACCCTGATCATCACTGAAGATCATCAGGGAATGAGGCTTGGTGCTACAGGGAAGCCAGAAGCAAAAGGACGGGTGAGAGATGTAGTAGGTATACGCAGGGATGATCAGCCTTCCCGACTGCAGCTGGATGCCATGGCCTGGGCCCACGGCAAATGTGGCCCAGTGCTTCACCTCTGCGCCAATGACCTCCTCAGTCAGGTCCCTCACCTTGCTCCAGGAGAACCCATCATCCTCACTGTACACGAAGCAGAGGCGGGCAGCATTCCTACCCGACACAATCTGGTGCCGCTCAGTGATGTGGTCCCGCACACAGATGAAGAACAAGAACACCCGGCCGCTCTTCCGCTCCCACACGGGGCAAGGGTTCATGGTCCGGTGCCCAGGTAGTGTGGCTTCCATCAGTGACGTCTGGGGCCCCCACTGGGCGAGAGAGAATGATAGAGAAAGGGAGAGTGAGAAACTAATATGCAGACAAATATGAGACTCATGGAAAAGCATTCATACTTGTGAGATGAGGAAGAATATTGAGAGCTACAAAGCCTATTGGCTCGGGTACTCAGCAAATTCTCAAATACTAGAGAAGCTGGCTACAGGCAGTGCTAGACAGTGCACATGGTGCCCGCTGTCTGGAAGGCACTTCCTCACCTCGTCTGGATGGCCAATTCACCCTCCAAGTCCAAAGTCAGACTCCGTCCCCTCTCCTCCCGAAGGCCACCGTCCCTTCCTCCTCGTGTATCCATGCATTCAGCACTTATCTTCCACCGGACATTTTTAATGTGACTGTTCCTTCCAAGGCTGTGAGCCTCTTGGGGGGAGAGCCTATATCTTACTAATTTCATAGCCCCAGAGAGAAGCTAGGTAAGAGTCTGCAGAAAGAGAGAGAATGAACACAAGGCAGAAGAGCACAGCAAAGGCAGGCAGGCAAATGCGAGGCAGTCCCTAACGGCGTCTGTCAGAGAGGCTCAGAGACAGCGTCCGAGGGCCCGGCTTCATCCCTCCCGGTGTTCAGTCGTCCTCTCCCTCAAGCTCCTGCTCTGGGGAAGGGACACAGGAACAGCATCCTTGCAGAGGGCTTGTTAATAAGGGTCGATGAGGTCCGGTCCGATTTAGCCAACCACAAACGTGCTTGCCCTGTGCCTGAGTCCGAGCCAGCCTCCAGGAGAACTGCCACACACATCCTCCGCCGTGATCTCTACGACCCAAGCCGTCACCTCTCTCCCAAGGAAGGACCAGGGCATTTTCAACCCGCTAGCCTGTTAGCCGGCAAGTGCTTAACCACGAAGCCACCAATGCTAGTCATATAGAGGGATATATTTAAGCCAGTAGAAATCACTAAGAAAATTCTAGAAACACATGAAAGATGGACAAAGGGCAACTAGAAAGAGAAAAAACAAAACAAATGCAAACATGCTCAACATCACATGTAAAAGGGAACTGCGAACTAAAATCAAACTCCTCAAGCCCTCTCGTCTAACAAACTGGTGAGGGCAAGGTTGGACAGCACGCTGTTGGTGGAGAAGTAGGCAGTCCTCCAGGGGCCCGGAGTGCACAACGAGTCAGCGCTCCCCTCCCTGCCATCTAGTGGATGCCAACCACCGCGACCCTCAGGACAAGGCACAACTGCCCCTGTGAGTTTCCAAGACTTAAATTGTTTATGGGAGTAGAAAGCCCCGTCTTTCTCCCACAGAGCAGTGGACGGTTTTGAACTGCTGACCTTGTGGATCATAGCCCAACACATAACCACTAGGATCACAATTATAAGTCTACTTAACCAGCATCATCAAGTCTGGGAAAGTATCCTAAGCTATGTCTGCTCACCTAATTAGTAAGTGCATACAAGATCATTCACTACAGCACTGCTTGAAACTGCAGAATGTTAAGAACTATCCCAAAAGTCATTGACAGGGGCCAGTTCACCACAGTGAACACACACAGCATGCCGTAAAAAAAAGAAAAAGCATTATTCAATCTTTTGCTGTCCTTCTGTTTTGTCTCTGTTGTTGTTGTTTTGCTTACCAATATAAGACAGGCATGGGAAACATGCCCGAGGAGAGAGCAACAGGACCAACGGTTCTGGAGACACCTGGGGGGAGGACGAGGTGGGTGAAAGGAGCGGTGCGCAAACAAGACCATAGACAGGAAGCAACTAGGGAATTAAAAGCAACAAGGAGGATGTAGAGATCCTGGGGGGCTGGAGCAACAGCAATCTAGCTGAGAGGGATTACTAAGAGACAGAGAGTGAGCGTGATGGTGGGGCAGGAAGAAGGTAGAAGAAAACAGTGGAAAGATCTAGGAAGCAAAGCTATGGATAAAAGTATAAACATAGGTGTGCACTTGTGTAAATATAATTAATTCATACAAATAGAGGTATTAGCATAGGTGCATATGTATATGGCAATATATTGAGGAAGTGGATTGACTTTAGGCCTCTGCTCAAG